TTCGGTTTCGGGGTTATGGCTTCTGGTATGGGATTGTGATTCCTCGTTTGGGGTCTAGGGGTCCTCTTTCAAAGTTCATCATTTAGGTTTAAGGTTCTAGGGGTAGGCCTTACGGTTTAGGGTTCCTGGTTGATGGTTCAGGTTCAGGCTGTATGGTTTAGTGTTTAGGTCTTATGTCTAGGTTTTAGATTCCGGTTTAGGATCTCGTTTTAGGGTCTAGCATTCTTGTTTAGCGCTTAGGATTTATGGGGCCCGGTTTACTGTTTCGGGGTTAGGTGTCGGGTTGAATTCTCAGCGTTCCAGGGGGAAGGTTTACCGTGTACTCTTCAGGGTCAGCTCCTACGGCTGCGGCCTTAGGTTGTAGCTTCAGCAGTTTGCGATGTAGGCTCCAGGTTTAGGGTTTAGGAAACAGAGGCTTAGGGTTTAGGGTTCTAGTTTTATGTTTTAGGCTTAGGTTTCACCGGTTACGATTTATTGTTCATGCTTCAGAATTCTGGGGGTCAGGTTCTATGGCTCAGAGGTTAGATCTTAGGGAGGGGTGTTATGGGTTCGGTTTGTAGGATCCATCTTTTAACGCTTAGGCTTTATATCTTGTTTCTCAAGCATTATTCTTTTTCTGTCATCTTTAGGATCATGGGTTCATTTTATGTGGGGTTTCTTTTTCATTTTCTTACTCTCTCCTTGGGGTTCCTTATTTTGGGTTCCGGCATTCTGCCTCTCTGCTAAACTCTTGCTGTATCCTTCTTCACCTGTTGCCAGTTTCAGAGAGAACGCCCCACGATTCATCTTTGACGTCTCCGGGGGATCCTCCCTAGATTCCTGCTTCTGTGGTTTTGGGTTTCGATTCAGATTCCACTCTTTAGGTGATATATTTTTTTCCTGGGGTTTATACCCTGAGATTTAATGTGTACGTGATTTGGTTCTTGTTTCGGCGATATGCGCATTGACCTTGTATTAGGCTAGTTGGGTTCCTGTTATGGATTTATCTTTTAAGGTTTATGTCGAAGGTTCTTTGCCTATTTCATTTTGTCCTGTTTTCCATGTTGGGATTTGCACATTTTATAGTCCCAGGATGTAGGGTGTAGTGCTCAGGGGGTAGTGTTTTCGGTTTAATAATTAGGTCTTACCCTCCAGGCTCTCGTCTAGAGGTGTCATTCTGTATTCTTCTCGGGTTATTACTACAGGTCGTACTTTTTAGGTTCCTATACTTCTGCATAGGGGGACTGTAAATGTGTAGCACTTACTGGTAACACGGGCAGGGTGCTTCGTCTTTCTGCCTGTTGATTCCTGGTTTAGTACCCTCTCCCCAATGTTATTTGTGTGGGTTCACATTTGGACCTCCATGTTTTCCATTCTATCATGCATCCCCCTGTAACTTGGCTATTACGGACGACATGCTCCCTGCCGATTTCTCGGTTTGATTCTGAAGATTCAGGGTTTCCTCCTGGGTTGGGTGGTTGGGTTTAATTGGGTTTTTTTCTCCTTGAGCCTTAGACTTCATATTGTATAACTTAATGTCGAGGACTTAGCCCTGTGGATTTAGATTTTGTTTCCAAGTAGGGAAGTTTAGGGTTTAGAGCTGCGGGGTGTTGATTTTAAGGGGGCACCTGTATTTTATAGAGGGGGGGACTCATCCTTAGCGGTGGGGGTTTCCTGTAGTCTGTATGTGTTCTTTTTATAGCAGTCGAGCTGAGGTTTATGCATTACGGGCTATTCCCTCCTCTAGGCCCCCGATTCTGCTTTTATTGTTTGTTGCTCCTGAATTACTTTGTACTTTTCATTGTTTTCTCCTGAGTGTGCGCCTGTTTCTCTGTACTTGTTATGCGCAAGTTAGAATTCTTCTTCTGTTGCTGTCCATGTTGTTTGGTTTAAGGCTCATAATTTGGAGGCTTTCTCTTTCCATTAGGGCTCAATTTTTTATTGGTTGGCCTCCAGATTCGACTCCTAATGTTCACATTTAGGCTTCATGATCATGGTGCATGACCAGTGCGTTAAGTTCAGAGTTTATTCTCTAGGACTTTTCTGCTCATGCTTTGGCGTTTATATTTCCTGGTTATTGCCCCTGCACGTATTGTTAACTTCTTAGGTTTCATTCTTTAGCCTATATCTGTTAGCCCAGAATGCCTAAGTTTCCAATTTTGGACTTAGGTTCTGGAGATTGAGCCCTCCTGATTGCGTGTTATTTCTTGGGCTGTAACCTGTAGGGGGCGTCAGGTATCGCTTAAGGCTTAGTGATGATGAAGTAATTTCCATGGTACATGTACTGTGGGGCACATGCAATGCTTAGTCGTAGAGATTGGAAATGTATATCGCAGAAGTAGGTTGTCAGTCCCTGCCCCGTTCCCTTATTATATGGTTTCTATCTCGTACTGCTTAAGCTGTGCTCTCGGCCTCCTGCTTGAGGCTTTATGTTGCTTCCATTATTGCTTAGGCCTTCTCTCCCTCTTCTACGCTCCTCTTTGGCTTAGGTTCCTGTAATTTTGAGGGCTGCAATTTTATGGAGCTCTGTTAAAGAGTACATTTCTCTCTATATGTTTTACCTGTACTCCTTGGTTTTCTGGCTTCAATTGTACTCAGTTAGGTTGCAGGGTGTAAGCACCTCTCTCATCCGGGTTTTACTCCTGGCATTGCGCTGTTGGTTTATGCTGGTTTGGTGTTTTCTCAACTTTTATTGTTGATTCTGTATTCTTTAATATTTAGCATTAATGCTTTATTTCTTATCCCCCCGGTTCCACTCTTGAGTGTACTTGTCAGGCTTTATCTTCTATGTTTACGCCTCCAGGTTTCTGTTTATGGCCGGGGGGTTGTCTTTACCCCTTAGCGTCTATTAGGACTGTCCGATAAGTTAGTTTAGGCGGGTAAGATTCACTGATTATATGCCCTTTGTACTGTGATCATCTTTACGTGCCTAGGATTTACGGTGTAGTGGTGGGCTGTAGGTTTTGGGCCCTAGGCTTTATATCCCATGGCTCAGCCTCCACGGCTTATCAGTGAGGCCTTTGTTTTAGTGTGTACTGCCACCTTCTAGTCCTTATTCCTACGGTTAATTTTTTACATATGCCTCCTTATTTCTGCTGCTTGTTTTTATTCCTTATCTCCTTAGCCTTAGGATCCTCTGCCATATCTGGACGGTGTACGGCTCAGATTTCAGGGTTGCGGATTCAGTTTTAGTGTGTAGGACTGATCGAATACCCTTAGTGTCTATCTGTGTCTGATGAAGTGTATGGTGGTTGTTGCATGCCCTAGCTTTACGCTTTATACTAGTTGAGTACTGTGCCCTGCTCAGGTGTATGTGCTATGGTTCATGGTTCAAAGTGCTTTGGCGTATTTGGTCCTATTATTCTTCAGGTTATCTCCCCGAAGGTTTCTGCGTTAGGCATCATGTTTAGTTTCTACAGTTATGAATTTGGGGCGCCATCTTGTATTCCTTCTTCTTTACTTCTTATGTTTTTGATATGTGCTGTATTAATTGGCTTTCAACGTCGAGTTTTCGTGTTGTATGATTTATTGTGCAAGCCTTATGGTTAAAGGCTTATCCTTTCTGTTTCTGGTTGTGTTCTCAGCCTTTAAAGTCTATTCTTTACGGTTAACCATTTAATGCTCTTCCCTCGGGATTTACAGTTCGGACTTTATGCAGGCCCTCACAAGCATCATTGCCCACTCTGCTTCTCCAGGTGGTGTTTGTTCCCCTCCGACTTACTTTATTATTTCTTTCTTCCTGTGGCATCGTGAAGATGTGTTTGTTTGTGTTATTTTCTCTAGGATGATTCTTGCTCTTTGTGCTACTGTTAAGGCGTGCTTTTGTGTTTGATTTTCCCTATGAAGATTCTCCTCTTCTGCGGCAGGGCTCAGAGGCCGTCTTGCTCTTTATCTTCTTTATGAAGATGCTTCCTTTTCCTGGTATCTTCAGGAAGTCCCTTCACCGTATCATTTTGAAGATATTCCTTTGCCTCGATTACTGTGAAAATGTTTCTTGAGGTCACATCATTGTGAAGGTGCCATTCTGGGGGCATCCTCGTTGATATGTTATACTGTATGTGATGCTTCCTTATTAGAATTCCTTACTCCGTAATATTCTGATCTACCTATTTCCTCTTCTTTTTATGTGGAATCATTATGAAGATATTTTCCTTCTTCGGCTATCTATGAGGATGGCCACGTAGGTGAAGTGTAAATATCAGGACCAAGCAGATGTGCTAGCATAATCAAACAGGAATAATATACGCATGTGTGAAGGGCCACTTTTATCCCTTATGTATTATTGCTTTAGAAGTGATGATGTTCATAGAGTACTATTAGGTGAATAGCACTTTCACCCCGATAATACTGTTAATTGAAGTGCAGAGTTGCGTCAAGGGTAAGGATTTCATGGAGTGTTATTGTAGGGAGGTTACTCACGTGTGCGTAGTACTCATATGTTCAAAGTAGTTACATGCTTATCATTTCGTTACATGGAAAGCACAAGCCTGGCTGGGGTACTCCTGCTTGCAGAATAATCAAGTGTATATGTAAGGATGGTGCAGCGCCGGGAATTACATACAATACTGTTATAGGAAGAGTATTGATGTCCATCTAGTAGTCTATGCGAAGGCTTCAGAGTTCACGCCTCCATTATATGAGGGACATTCTTCTATGAAGTGCATGCATATTCCAGTGAAAATATTGCCTGAAGATGATTGATCTGTCCAAATTTTCGATGGTCAGGAGTGCAGATGTTCCCATATTACTGTTATATGAAGGTACTAATGGTTGAGCTATATGGAGGAGTTCGAGTGCTATTATACTAAAAGTATCATTACGTGCGACGTTCTGTGGCGGGATGAGTACGATTATCCTGAGAGCATTATTATTCGAACAGAGCGAGTGTGCAAGGAGTATTGTTATATTAAGAGTACTCTTTTGAGAATAATACTTTTATTTGAATAACAGTACTATTATGTATGAAATGATGTACGATAATAAGTAGGAAAATCCCTGGAGTAGCATTATGTGAAGTGTTCCGATATAACGTTAACGGCTTCATTATAGGAAGCAGAGGATTGGGCAAATGGTGTTAATTGTCTGGAGTACTATTCTTTGAAGAATATTGCTACCCCCCGAGTACTATAGTATTAAGAGTACTTTTGTGTGTGCAATATTGAAATTCTAGGAGTGGTATAATTAGTGGAGCACTAGTCTGTGAAGTGCATGCATATCCCAGGAGAATTATTGCCTGAAAAGTACTTATGTGTATGCAATCTCAATGAGGAAAATTGCGAAATTCCTAATAGTACTGTTATATGAATGTACTAGCAGCTGAAATATACTGATATCTGCGGAGTCCTATTCTCTGAATACCACAGTAGCATAAGAGTAATGCATCCTGGGAAGCTATATTATGTAAGCCATCTCAAGTGTGTGTAGTATTCTTATTTGCAAAGAAAAGTTGTGCAATGATGATGCCTGTCTCGGAAGCAAGATTATTTGAAGCGTTTCGATATACGCAGAGTGCTTTTATATAGGGGGCACTATTTTATTAAGCGTAATAATATATTCGCAGTAGTATGTAGTGAGCTATAGGTATGTACCCCGAATATTACTTTGGGGTGGATGAAACATTGGACGTTTCGTTATTTGAATAAAACAATTGTTCATATTGCACTCATGTCTTCTCATTTGCGGTACCTTATTTTTGAAGGGGTTAAAATCCCGGCTGTAATATCAGGAGATAAGAGTTTTACAAATTCCTGTGATGTATCTGGAGTAACATTTTTTGAGAAAAGGCCATATCCTAAAAGTAGTATTATATGCAGCGTACTTTCCTCCCTAGAATAGCATTGGTGTTGATAACATTAATGTTACGAGAATAGCTTTGACAAGAAGATACCAATATCGCTAACATACAATCCACTTATCATATTAGGAAGAGAGGAAAAAAAGATGAAGTAGAACAAGTGCCCAAAATGAAGTTTATACATTGAGGGTACTGCAAAATTGAACAAAATTCTCCATTTCAGAGGAGAAATAAATATATGCGGTAAAACCATATAACTGACTTAAGAGTATGAGCAGACATGAACATGAAGCTGAAAGGAAACATTCAAAGAAGAAGTAGCACCCTATAACCAGAAAGGAAAAAGGTAACTTAACCAATAAGAGTATCTAAAGCAATGTTGACAGAGAAGGAATCAACCCGGAAAAAGAGAAGCTGAACACAACAGAGGACAGTTCCAGTAACATATGGGGTGAGATGTTTCCAGGGCCCAATACCGCCTCAGATAAGGGAGGGGTTGATTGCCAACTTTCAGGTCTCAGAATACACGCGATTATACGCAACTAGCGAGAAAGATATATAAGTACGAAATTTCTTACATATATTAATTGATGTTCTAAATTTCTTCCTATTTGTATTGAGCGTTATTGCTTGAATTACAAACTCTAAAATTTTATTTGTTGCCCTAGGGTTTAATATGCTATGATACCATCTGTGATTTTATACATAAAAATATATAATTGTTTAGA